AAGAGTTAGTAGTCAATTGATATAAACATATGTATTTATAGCAAAAAAAAAATGCATAGAGAGCATATGGCTGTTATAGATTTATTGGGAAGAGATTAATTATTTCTAGGAAATGTTTATAACTTATTCCAAACAAGATTGTAGGCTTACCAAAAGAGAAAAAGGTCCATTAAGCCTTTAAACGATGAAAAACTTCTTTTTTGGTGAAGTAGTCAACTGGCTTGAATTGGTAGCCAATTGCTTCAACTTTATCAAGAGTTAGTAGTCAATTGAAATCTTCCAATAGTTGACTACTACTCACAAGAGAAAATATTTTCTCTATGGTAGTTGACTACTACATCTTGGCAGTCAACTACTTGGTGTACTTAAGTTCTCGATTGTTGAAGATAGTCACATATCCCATTTTATTAGTTGACATTAGGCTCAACTATTATAGGTAGTTGACTACATAGTGACACCAACCTCGGCTTTCACAAGTAGTCGATTATAGGATATGTCCAACCTTAAAAAACTTTATCCAGTGACACCCAAAGTTAGGAAATCGACTCCTTAAGATTCCACACGTGCAAACATTACATTTTAGTTTAGATAAAGTCTCCTATCCTCTTAAAACTAATTTAACTATTGGTCCCTAATGCTGCATTTGGAAATGATGCAAATGGAGTGTAAATCCTAGTTCAGGGTAAATTTGCACTATGGTTCACTTTTGCCTGTGTTTGGCAACATTACATTTATGTATTGACAAATGACAGACCAATGCATATTTACATTGATAGCAAAATGTAAAAGCATATGCTTTTAATACATATTTACATTTGATAACAAGATGTAAAAGCTATTAACATTTGCATTCAAGTGGGCTTTTGATAAGAAAAAGCATATGCTTTATTGAAATTCATGTATGCATCCATTACAACTAAAAGTATTATTGGTAAGAAGGAAATTTGTTAGTGCAAAACTAACCCAACTTTGCAATTTATATGAACCATTTTACACTCTACATATTTACATTCACACTTATTTGCATGTTTCAAAACATAGCCTAAGGTCTTAGTAATGTTGAGGTAAGCCATAATTAAGCCAATTCCATCTTGCATATGATTATATTAAGTCCTAAATAAATAAAACACATAGGAACCACTAGAGCTTGATGCTTTCTTCTTCTTCTTCTTCTTCTTCCTCCTTATGTTGTCATGGTAGCACTTCTTCTTGCTCATTTAGCTTTAGAGATGTTTAGTCTTAAATAAATAAAACACAAAGAAACCATTAGAGCTTGATGCTTTTTTCTTCTTCCTTATGTTGTCATGGTAGAACTTCTTGCTCATTGAGCTTTGGAGAATGTTTAGTCCATTAATAGACTATTATTTGCTTCATTAAGACTCTTGAGTTCAATCGAGGATTCTTTTGCTACAGTTACACACTTATTTTTCCACATTATTAGTATCTTCAACACGTTTGTTATCATCAAAATACATAGAGTCAACAATCTCCCCCATTTTAATGATGACAGACCATTAATTGAAAACGATAACATTTGAAAGCACATATAGAGAGTTTATGTTTAAAGCCCCCTTGTAATTATGTTACATGACACATACAAACAGATAAATATGATAAAGAAGAAATAACAATTCATAAATAAAACGCATGTATAAAGATCATTTTTCATCTCCCCCCTATTTCAAGCAATTGATGCATCATCAATTTTTCAATTCTTTTTTAGCTTTCCCTCTCTTTCATGAGGTGATGCATCTTCCTTTGATTTGGGGGTATTCTTCCTCTATTTAAGTTGGAACATGCGAAAGTTGCTCATTTAGTCAATTGAGCATTTTCTACTAGTGTGCTTGAGCACTTCCAACACATCATTTAACAAACATATTCAACAAACATTTATAGCAAGCAAATAATCAATTTATGCCTTTTTTCCCTAGGAACATTGAGCATCACCAAACATTTTTTCACATTTTTCACATCAATCATATATTTCTCCCCATTTTAGCATTAACAAAAACGAAAGAAAGCATGTGGAAGATTAAGCAATCAAGAGTATATAGACCAATGCTAGCAGATATGCAACATAATATATAAGTGTACCAACATTATCAAAACACTGAATAGAAACAAAAGTGTATGAGTTATAGATTATGGTGCCATGGAAATAAAGGGAATGATTAGAGAGGAGAGTTTAATAGTCCAAGAATATAAGAGAGACAAAGAGGGGAAAATAGATTAAGATACCATGAATAAATTTTTCATGCTGTAGCTGATTAGGTTGGCTTCTAAGAATTTGATCTCTGATATCCATTAAGATTTCAAGTAAGTCCCCAGTTTCCCTCTGCATTTTTTCTTAAAAGGCAAGAAATTCTTGTCTATCCATCTCCAATTGTTGCTTCATGCAGTTGATACATTCCATTTTAGTGTTGATCATCTTGACAAAATGGGTAGTCTGTGCTCATTTTCATACATTGCATCCATACAAGCTTCCAAAGTATCAAAACAAATATGTAGCCCTATACTATGGGTGAAGGTGTTGAGGCTTTGAGAAAAGTCATTCTTAGTGAAGGAGGTTAGACTTTGGGATGAAAATATCTATAGGATCAAAATGAGTCATGTTATCCCTACCAAATTGATCATTGTCCTCATAGTGAGGAGTCTATTCCTCCTTGTCATTTAGATTCTTGATAGCTAAGCAATCAATGAAATAATGTCATCCCATTCTCCAAAGGGTTCTTGACCAAATTCATCCTTCTTAAGGTACAAATGTTTATAAACTTACCTTCAGGGGTGACCCTTGGCTCATTGCTTAGATTGACTCCCACCTAATTGATGATCATTGTGAGTGCCATCCCATACGACAAATGGCTTAAGGTGTTGATTGATGCCTCGTTATATGTTTCTTGATGCAGTACAAGTAGGGGTGTCAACGAAAAATCGATTTCGAATTCAAGATGTGACATAATCGAATTGGATTTGGATAATTCAAATATCTAATCGGTCGAATTCAGATATGACCTGATTCTATTTGATAAATATCCGAATTCGACCGATTATTTAATTCTTCTATATAATATATAAATATTTAAATGTCTAATATAATTTATATATAATAATTAAATTATATGAACAATTTATATATTTATATACTTTATATAAATAAAATATTTATTAATTACCTAAAATACTTAATTAATCAAATTCAAATCGAATCGAATATTCAAATATTTAATTGGATTCGAATTTGAATTTTGATTTTCAAAATCCGTCAGATATCAAATTTTCTAATCGGATTCAAATTCAGATATTGCTTGATCCGATCCGTTTACACTCCCAAGTACAAGAGTAGAAGTTTCAACTAAGAGATGCTACCAAATGAGCCCTTCTTTGGAAAAACACCCTTAGCCATCATTAAATGCATAACTCTCATGGGTACTTTTAAGTCCTTCACTTGGGCGGCCTATATGTGTGATCAAGATTGGGGTTTTCAATGCATCTACATACCCAATATCTATATTGTCAACCACCTTCCTTTCTCATAAGACATAGGTCCCTCACCACTTATCTCTAGAGTTTTTCCAATTCTTCTAGTATAAGTTGTATTGTTACCCCTTGGACAATTGTCTCAAGCTCAAAACATTTTAGGGTAAGGTTGGCATATAAGTGACATACTAGTGTTGGGTAGATCAATTCATGAAAGTGAACCAGGTTCTCCCATCCTAGGTAGCATAAGGGAGATTTAATATCAATTCCCTCATTATTTAGGAAGGAAAAATTAACCATCATCCCTTCAAGAATTTCTCCTCTTTGGGCCTTAAAGGGTGCATTCCTCTTTTTTCTACCACTTGTTGAAGCCGCTAATGAGGTTGGATAGTGATATACAATGAGCACGGTCTCTCTTTTCATGTTTTAAGTGGATAGAACTTTAAAAGTGAAGAGAGATTTGTATTTAGGTTGCATTTGGTTGCAATGCAAACACAAATATGTACACTACATATTTACCTTTTTTCGGTTCATGAATGCAAACACGGTTCACATTTTAAACTGTTTTTGCACTCATCTTGTTTGTTTGAAATTGGTGTAAAGTGTGGGCCCATAATTAAATGCTCCAACTATCTCTATGGTCCAATGTCTTAAATTTGGTCAAAAAGTTAATTATCAAAAGAACACAAAATTGTATCCAAAAAATAGGTACAGTAATGCCCTCTTCTCAGAGCACAAAAGTGTAAAAAAATTACATTTTTTGATCTGATAACCATTACTTTTTTACATATCAAACAAACACTCACAAACGTGAACCGGTTTACAAACTTTGCTCTTGAGCACAGTTTGAAAAACTAAAAAAAACCCAAAACTTTTGGCTAAATTTGGAAGGAGTACAAATACAAATATGTAGAGTGCAAAACCTTATATTTTTTATGTATTTGCACTGAACATATTTGCATTTGTACTCCTTCCAAACTAAACCAAATTACGCCAAAACTTAAACAAGGACTGAAAATCCAAGCCTAACTCCTATATAAATTGCATGTTAGATTGGTTTGGGCTAAAGTTGAACCCTTTTAAGTTGCACCCCCAGAATCAATTCATCATCCATGTAAGAAATCCTTCCAAATAGGGGTGATGATAGGCTGAGCTGGGCCTTCAACTTTTATGTATAAAATATTAAATGTGTGATATTTTATATTTTGTCATATATAGCATATTTTATACATTACATAATGCAAAATGTTATATATAATATATATTGCAAGTGTCATATATTTATATAAAATATAACCATACATACATGTATATTGTTTATGTATAAATAACATTATATATAGGAGAATATGTGTGAGCTTGGCCTGGCCATGCCGAGCCTGAAGTATTGGGCCCAGGCCCGGCTCTGAAATTTCCAGGGCCTCATGTGGGTCTGAACAAACAGGGCCTTGTTTCAATCAAGGCGATCTCACCATTCTTTACAGCAAGTTATGGGTTTTGATAATGGGTTATATTAGGGTTTTTGTCTTCCAATAGCAGTCTCCGAGTGCCGCGAGAGAGAGAGAGAGAGAGAGAGAGAGAGAGAGAGAGAGAGCTGTAACGAAAATGGTGAAGAGTCGCCAGGGAGAGCGAGTCAGGTCTGAAATCCTTCTCGTCGTTCGTTCTAATAGTCCTTTCTCTGTCCCTTATTTACTTTTATATTTATGTTTTCTTCAATCTTCTGATCCCGATTGATTTTCTGTTTTGTTGTCTTTGTGTCGTTGCAGATTATACGTCAGAGGGACGATTCTCGGCTACAAGAGGTAAGAGAAATGACAAAGTCAAATTTCCATTGGTTTCAATGATTGATTTCCTTCGTGAAAGTTTTTTCTCGACTTGTTTCTGAGTACTTCTGTGATGGGTCAGGTCGAAGTCCAACCAGTACCCGAACACGTCGTTGATACAGATCGAAGGCGTGAACACCAAGGAGGAGGTCGCATGGTACTGCGGCAAGCGAATGGCTTACATCTACAAAGCGAAGGTGAAGAAGAACGGATCCCACTACAGGTGCATCTGGGGAAAGGTGGCCAGGCCTCATGGGAACAGCGGTGTGGTTCGTGCCAAGTTCAAGTCCAACTTGCCCCCCAGATCCATGGTACATTATGCTGGAAGGCATATATCGTAAGTTTTGTTTCATGGGTTATCGGGAATCAGCTCAATCTTGTTTCTTTGCTGCTTTGTACAGGGAGCGAGGGTTAGGGTCTTCATGTATCCGAGTAATATATGAGGTATTACTTCCATTTCTTCGTGCCCTTTCATATTCTTGTTGATTTATCGTCTTTCGTAATGTATTTGCCTTGCTTGCCTGCCGTTTGGTTTATTGCCCCTAAGAAAATGGAGTGGTTTAGTTACCACTGGAAGTGTCTGGTCCTTTAGCGCTTGTTTCAACATGTATTCTTCATACAATAGGCTCTTGCTATTAGCAATCTTAAAGTCGTGGAAGTTATCTTTCGTTTTGGGGTATTCGAGTAATTCATTTGATTGCTTTCATGATGTTTGTTTAAAATTTCGTTTGGTTGTCTTTTTCCCCCTTTTTCAGAGTCCTGAGATAGTTAATTCCTTTTGGTTTCGACATTTTCTCATGTTTTCTTGTTTTTGTTGTTTTATGTCAGGTTGAGCAGATACCAGGTTGAGGAGTATTAGGAAAATAGAAGGATTGGGTTCAAATAGCTTCCCATGCTGATAAGAGTTTTTCTTTTCCCTGTTTATTCCAATATTTCACAGCTAGAATGACTAGTTATTGTTTGATACCGTTTCTTTTTTGAAAGGGAGAATGGTGCATTGAGAATGTATGCAAGTTTCTAGTTATAAGCCTCTGTGGGAGCTTAGATATTTTTTTCTTGGTTAGTTGCATTCCTGATTTTCTTTATTACATTGAATTATACAGAGTGAGTAACCTTACTTCAATTTAATGTGGACTTGTTACCTTGAAGTAATTTTCTTTTATTTATATTTGTGTTAATGAGCTCTTTTTTTCTTATAATTTTATATGTTGTACCTCTTGGATTACTATTTACAACCTCCCCTTGTCCATGTGATTCCAATTCTATTAGAACGTACCAAGGAAATGTTCTTTTTTCTTCAAAGTTAATGCCTAGTGCCCATGTGGCCAGATGTTTGTGTGTTCTTGTGTTATGTTCCTGTGTTCTCTCAATATATGTAAATACTAAATATCCTAAAAATTCCTGATAATTCACCTTGGGCGGTAAAACTTTTATGCCATTCATGGGGCATAGTGTAAATTAATTGCGTTGCAACACAGCATGGTTAAAGAAGCATCAAGCATGGCATCCTTCTGATGCAGGAACTTTCTTGCAATAATGCGTTGCAACACAGCATTATTGCTGAAATCTCACATCTGCTGACAATTGACAATGGATGGTTCTAGTGTTTATGTATTATAGTATAGGGATGGAAGGCAGGAGGATTTCGAAGTAAATATATATTCTTTTCACCAAATACCCTACTCAACTCAGCCATAATCCCCAACTATTTGGGGTAAGTTTCATGAATTTTATCCTGCCATTTTGCTCAATCAAGCGCTTTATGTCAAATTGTAAGTCGGATGATTTCCTCCCCCTTAAACCTTGTTTTCTTCGGTTTGTCTTTGCTCTTTTAGGGCCTTGTTACTTGTACTTTTTAAAGTTATTCTTCATCAGTGCAACATTGGTCATCTATGCATATTGTCTGGGTCTACTTTCCCTCATCTTGTCATCATTGAAGCTCAAGTCCCCTCTCTCTTGTAATCGTTTCTTTTTTACCATTCCTGATCTTTTCACTCAACTTGTCATCTATGCATATTATCCAGTATTCTCTTCTTAGATACAGCTATTTTTTGAACATATTATTTATTAATTGCCCATCAATCCACTCTCTTCTATGTTACATTTTTCGTATTGCTGTCTTATAAAAATTTCCTCTTACACCGTCAAACAATTGCTCCACTTCAACTATCTTTTCTCTAATTCTATGGTGAATATCTCTTCTTCAGTGACTGATAAAAAAAATCTCTAATTCTAATGTTATTTTTTACTAAAATTGCTATGCATATTCTTAATCAGTTAATCTATCTCATCTTGAAACATTACTTTTTTTTTTGGTAACATCTTGAAACATTACCTTTGAAGCATTTTATCGTTCCCAGACTTTGTATTTGGCCCGTCTTTAGCTTTAGATAAAATGTATTCTGCCAGAAAGAAATGATACTGGAAGAGCTTTAGCAGATAGTTTATTGCTGACTCTTGGTGTAAATCAATTGTGATTGAAACTCACTTTTAGTGTTCCTTCACTGGTTATAATACCTTCATATCATAATTATTCAATGACTAATACAATTAATTGATATGGTTATCAAGAACCCAAATTGGTTTCGAGTGTAGAACCGTGCCTCTTCTACTTGCTGCTTTTACAATTTTATTTACAGCTGGGAAGTATAAGCATGAAAACAGGAGGCATAGAGCTAATGCCATATTTTATTATATAAGGGTAAATTATTTAATCCTCCCCTCCATATTGTTCTTTATAAAAACCTTAGTCTTCTTTCAAATAAATGTATAAATACACCCCCTTCCCAAATCTTTGCCTCTTCTCGAGAAAGTTGGGGCTATGTCTCAATGGGAATCCTGGTCATCTCAACTTTCTTGAATAGAAGAGGCAAGGATTTAGGATTGTTCATTTTTTGTCAATATTTGGATGATTGATAAAGAGAATTAGATTATATTTGAAGGGCATTTGTGTCTTTTCAAATGACACTTAATGGCTGGTTTGACACGTTTTGAAAGTTTGGTATCAAGTTTAGTACCCAAACTTTAAAATGTGACAATCTAGTACCTGAACTTTCATTTTGCGACGATCTAGTACCTATCATTAATGGATCATTAGTTATGTATATCACGTGATTTCATGTGCGATTTAATAATTTTGAAAATATCAAAATTACCCTTAGAAAATACATTGTTCATCATCTTCTTCCTTGGGAAAATGATGTGCCGTTGCACTTGGAGACCATACCACCCTCTCTCGGCTCCTATCTTCCCTACCATTATTGGTCGAACCCTCCCAAATTCACATTGAGTCGGACTTGCTTGACTAGAAAAGAGTAGTCGACCAGATCTCTTCCATCCTCGATCCCCGTGACGTTCCTCATCGTGAAACCCCTCTTTGCCATGTTGTCTGTCTCAACGACTCTTTTGTCGCTTGTACTCTTGCTATTGTTGGTGTTGATGTCTCCTTTTAGAATGCCTCTAGATGGAACCCCTTACAGGAAGCGGTGTGCCGTTTCGCTTGGTCTAAATGGCACTTTAGACTCTCGCCTCATTGCGGTTCTTCGAAGAATGCGAGACTTTTACATGGAGATCTCCTTTCACTTCGAGAACTCCATTGTCCCCTTCGTCAGCAATATCGCTCCTTCAGACACTTATAAGATTTGGAAGCGTGATGGCAATCTCCGTGTTGACATTTCTCTTGCCGAATTCAACGGTTTGAAGATACAATGGGCTGATCAAAGCTTTTTGTTCCTTGGAGATGGCGTTCGAGATTTCGGTGTCCCCTCTGGCTCTTTACTAGTACTCAATCGTGACGAGCGGAAGATATTCTACACCTTCAAAAATGCTTGTACTCTAATGTTGGAGGCCGATGTTATCGGATTCTGTTTGCAGACAAGTGTTTACCGCTCTGGCATGGATGTTACCAAGGCTGATCTGGTAGGGAGAATGAATTGGAGAAGGCAAGAGAAAATGGAGACCGTTGGAGAGTGGAAAGCCAAGGTCTATGAAGGAGCGATCTTGCCGAGATAAAATTGGAGGCTATTGGGATAGAACTAAGATCGAGAGCTGAAACTCTGGAGTCCTTACATGTAACTTCGTTGAAACCGCAAGGATTCTGATTCCACTACCAATTTTGAAGTAAGTTTGGATTTAAAACTGCAAGAATTCCATCCCCAAATCCGGTGGCAACAGATGCATAGTGGCGGTGAACAGTGTTCATAGACTAGAATATTGGCAGTGAACTTTTGTTTAGTTCTGACTCTATGAACACTGGTTTTCTTTCTCTGATTTTCTCTTCTGTGGCGGGGAACACTGGCAGTGTTCATGCATAGTGGCGGTGAACAGTGTTCATAGACTAGAATATTGGCAGTGAACTTTTGTTTAGTTCTGACTCTATGAACACTGGTTTTGTTTCTCTGGTTTTCTCCTGTGGCGGGGAACAGTGGCGGTGAACTTTTGTTTAGTTCTGACTCTATGAACATTGGTTTTCTCCTATGACGGGGAACAATGGGGTGTTCAACGAAGGAGACAATGAACAGTGGTAGTGAACAATAAAAAATTAGATGAAATTTTAGGGGCATGTGTCTTTTTCCATGACACTTAACGGCGAATTAACGCCATGTACTAGATTGTCACAAAATGAAAGTTCAGGTACTAGCTTGTCGCATTTTAAAGTTCGGATACTAAATTGGCACTCGACCTAAAGTATAGGGTACCTATCGAGAATTTTCCCTAAATTATATTTTAAAGTTCGGGGACCAAAGTGGTACTAGGCCCAAAGTACAGAGAGCTAATCGGGAATTTTCTCTTGAAGTTATAACAATTCTTTTATTTGTAACCATTGAGGTAGAAACATTTCCCTTTTTATGTTAGAGTTTCTTCCTAATTGGTCTTTATAGGTGGCTCTGCAAACGGTAATAGCCAAACATCGGCTCCAACACTACAAGCATTCATTTGACACGGATACCGCTTGTTAGGACTTAGGAGTGAGCAAATGGGTAGGTTCTACGTGGAACCAAATGGAACTGATCTCGGACTGGCCTTGAACAGACCCTACCCAATTTGTTATAGGGTGAGGTTTAGTTCCAAATTCTTAGGACCAACCACCTTGGTCGGTTTTTGGGTTTGTGGGTTTATCCTACCCGAATTGACCTGATGAACCGGCCTTGCTTGGCCTTGGTGAAATGGTCTTGGTGCCTTGGACCAAATTTGTCTTTCAATATACCCAAAATACTTTTGAGGATGTGAAAGATTAAACCCTAGCACTAATGATTACAGAGGCCATTGTATCACTACATCACTTAAGTAATTTGATCATTTGTTTTCATTTTAATACTAGTGGGACACGGGCTTTGTTAAAGGAAAATGAGATGAAGTTTTGTAACATTCTTAGTTGGGCTGAGTTACCATTTTCAACCCAAATATTATTTTGGAGTTATTTATTGTTAGATAAATTTGTATTAATTCTCATTATTTTTATTTTCTATTATTTTAAAGTATTTTTAATTCAACTTATTATTAGTTTTTATTTTATTTTATTTTATTGTTGTTATTTTTTTAAAACTATAAACATTAATTAATGTTAACAGAATTAACAAAATTAAGTATTCACTATTAATTATTATTATTATTATTACTATTATTATTATTATTATTATTATTATTATTATTATTATTATTATTATTATTATTATTATTATCAAAATCAACTAATTTACTGTTAATTAAATGAAATCTAACTAATTTCTTATATAACCTACTATTAACGAATTCACAGGAAAACCTCACTACAAGAAAAGTGATTTTTAGTGGCATTTGAAAGTGTTGCTAAAGATAGGTAAAAACGCCAGTAAAGGCTATTGCGGCGTTTACAAATTACACCACCGATATCTGAGTTAGTAAAAGTTTTAGTGGCATTTATCCCATTTTTAGTGGCACTTAAATAAATGCCAATAAAACTTACTTTTAGTGGCGTTTATCCAAATTTTAGTGGCACTTATATAAATTTTAGTGGCACTTATATAAATTTTAGTGGTGCTTTATTCTTCCTTTAGTGGCAGTTTCAAATGCCATTTTAAAATTTAATAATGGAATTTATTGGCACATTTAGTGGCAATTCGTAGTGCCACTAAATAGCAACCGCTATAGTGGCAATTATAAGTGCCACTATAAGGGTACCATAAAA